AGATTTAATAGACTAAGACTAAATAATTAACAATAATACTAAATAATACTAAAGAACCAGTATTAATCCTGATATTGATATAAGATATACAAGAATTATACTCAGCCAATTATATCAGCAGGAACCTGTGCACTCCCAGGAGCGGACAGCAAATGTTGGACACTGTGAGCACAATGGCTTCAGGAGGAAGGGAAGGCCTCAGGGTTCCAGCACCAAGGCAAGGAATTTTCTGGATCGCTGCCATCAAGGGAGAAAGAGCTACGCAGCAAACTTTTCTAATTTATATTGAATGTGATGTTCATGATATGAAATAATCCTGTTGGCCAGCCCGGGTTAAATGCCCAGGCCTTGTTCCTCCTTGTCCCTGCACCTGGCATGGCTTGAAAACACTACGACCTTGAATCCCACGGAGCCTGGCTGGCTATAAAGTAAATATTTTCACAAATTCAGACACTAGAATCTTCTAGAAGGGCATTTTTCCCCAGAAGTAGAAGAAAAGTTAGTCCTGTGTCTCTCAACCCAGGACAGATACATAGTGGTCTAACATGAAAGAAAGGCTGGAGAGCAATGGACTAGAACACTATGGCAACTCCTCAGAATCTCTGGTTCCCATGGCTTTGACTGATTGAAAATAATAAATATAGTCAACCAATTCTGACAACATAAGGATTGTAGCCAAAACGTGTGGGGATACCAGGGCCCCAGGTTCTAACAAGCCCTGGGCTTACATAACTGATAGAAAGTACCGAAATATTCTGTTGTCCAAGCTGGGTCGGAGCAGATGAGTACCTGATGGAAGTCTTGGATCCTATAAGTAGCAAATCTAGTAAAGACTCTTTGAGCTCTTCTGGATGTCAGTGGGCTGTGGCCAGTAACTTCCCTGAGATGAGATACCTCTCAGGCTGACGCTTCGAGGTCAGGGTGCGAGAAGGTCCATTTCAAGCCTCCACTATCACATGTTGAGGATCGCCAATGCACCGTATTTACCCTAAATCTGAGAAAGGGAAATTTTAACTATAGGCTAGCCTTTCTCTCGCTCTCTCCCATCCACCTCTCAACCTACATATTGTGAGATACACATTAGCTTTAAGGATATGGATGACCTTCTGTTCATCCGTACACATGTAGTACCTAAAACCCATACCTTTAATCTCTGTAGAGTTGCCCGATATGAAGTAATTCCCAATCCTACGTAATCGGAGACATGTGTGTGTGCATGTGCGCGTGCTTATATATCTTGCTTAGCATTATTTATATATGTATCAGCCTGTGATTTCTGTTTTTACTCATACATATACATATTGATTTGGGATACTTCATAGTAAGTTAGTGTGAATCTTGTCATCTTCAAATCTGTAATTAAGTTGCTGTTCAATTACTTTGGTCACTCACTTTGTAAACCTCTAAAATGGTTAATGATTAAGTGCTGCTAAAATTCAACGTTTCAATCTACCTTGCATCATTAATAAATTTTCAATCGCTGCTAAAACATAACTGTGTTAAATATTTCCATCCCTGACAAGGAGGTCAATGCCTTCTCTCTCTCAGTCTTGAAGAACCAGCTGGGGTTTCCTGGATGGGTTATGGCTTCCCCATCCTTGTTGGTTTTCGGAGCTTGACAGGATTTAGCCTTGAGCCTCCTCCAAAGGCGACATTATAGCGGTATTCCAGTACCTGAAGGGGGCCTACAGGAGAGATGGGGAGGGACTGTTTATCGGGGAGAGACTCTTTATCAGGAAATGTAGTGATTGGACAAGGTAATAGTTTTAAACTGAAAGAGGGGAGATTCAGGTAAGATACAAGGAAGAAATTCTTTATTGTGAGGATGGTGAGACACTGGCCCAGGTTACACAGAGAAGCTGTGGCTGCTTCATCCTTCGAGGGATTCAAGGCCAGGTTGGATGGGGCTTTGAGCAACCATGTCTAATGGGAAGTGTCCCTGTCCATGGCAGGGGGTGGCACTGGATGGGCTTTAAGGTCCCTTTTAAGCCTAACCATTCTATGATTCTATGAGTCTATGCTTTGAGCAGGGACATTTGGACTAAAGTCCACTTCCAACCTCAAGGATCCTGCGATTCAGCCACGGGAAAAGATGGGAGTTGCACAGCTGCGCCTAAGAAGGAAGAGCTGGTTGGGAACTTTGGAACCAAGACAATCTTGGTGGTCGCACCTGAGAAACAGTGGAGTTTGAGACTTGATGGCAGGGAGGAAAGCAAGTAGCAGAGTACAGTCCCTGGACTTTGGACATGCTGACTTCAGCCTTGGCAGGCAGCTGGTGGGCAAGATGTCATGGAGGCAGCTGTGAACCAGAGAAGGTGGCAGGGCCTTAGACACCTCATGGTCCAAGAGCAAGACAGGTCCAGTGCCAATACTCAGGACAACAAGCCGATGTCTCAGCAGACTGACTTTGGCTAGGTGGGGAACTCAAGGCAGAGCACTCAAGGCAGCATCCTGGGGGTGGAAGAAGCAATGAGCTGCAAAGGAGGAATTTGGAAATATTTCCTAGGCATGTTGGGATGCTGATAGGAAATCCAAAGCTCAGTCTGCCTTGAGTCTTGCAAGAGGCATCCAGAGAAACAGGCAACTAATACCAGGAGGAACATCGACCTCTACAAGAGTAGCCAAAGACTGATGGAGGAAAATGTGGAAGCTGTGCTGTCTGGGGCAGCTGATTTCCTGAAAGCTGACAGAGAACAGGCAGAGGGAGTCAGCGCCTTCTCTCTCTTTCAGTCTACACCTAGAAGGTCCCCCAGGCCTCTGTGCCCTCTGAGAGTTGAAGGAAGGAGGGGGAGCCCTCCCAGCAGTGGGTGGGCATCAAATCAAGGACTACCTGAGAAAAGTCAACCCATGTAAGACAGTTTATGCACTCCAGAGTAGGAATGCTGTACCTAGAGGCCTAGACCTGCTGCAGGACTGAGCCACAGGGGCCTCATGGCATTAAGAAGGACAAAAGGCTAGTCCTGCACCCAGAGAGGAAAAACATCTTCTGTAGATCTGCTCCCAGGTACAGAGTTAGCCTTGGAGAGATACACAGGTGGTTCAAGGGAATGAAGAGCCAAGCCTCATCTTCCTGGTCAAAGAGACCGGGCTCTAGTGAGGACCTCTCTTGAGTGCTCTGTGGGGGGAAAGAAAGGGTTGCAGAAAACCTCTCGCCACCAGCCGGGACTTGTCCCTGTGTCCCAGACAATATGTCTTATCCTGGCATTAGGGCTTCTGTATACCTCCTTTCCCACGCCCCAACAGCCTTCTTTCCCACGCCCCAACAGCCTTCTCTGCTTTGAGCACAACCCAGCACCACTGGGGAGGCAAGGAAACTTCCCCTCACTCCCCAGTCAGTGAGACCTGGCAAGACCCTACAGTATCATATACTTGAGGAAGCTCAGGGAAGGGGCATGCCCAGAAGGGCTCTGGGTATAAAAACCAGGTCTCAGATTACATCAAAATGTGATGCACTTCCCTGCCCTGCAGGCATGGAGGCAGCTGGGACGCGTCCCAGGAGGGCAAGGGAATGCCTTCAGTAGGCAAGCTTCCTGGGCCAGACTCTCCCTACCCACGGCGAGTCACACTCCAATTGTGGATTGGCTGAGTGTCAGCCTTTTGGTGTGAGACCAAGACAGGAGTGTGTGCTGTCTACAGGCCCGTGTCCCATGCAGGGTTGGATTCCCTTGTGGCCAGGGCAGCTCCATCCATTCTGAGGGAAAATGAACTCAGCACTGTGTTGTACTTGAGTACAAAGCTGCAGGACAGGCCATTGTGTGTCATGCAGGTCAAGGTCCAAAGCATGGAGACGAAGACCATGGTGGTGTAAGGACATTAGGATGAACAAGGCACTGTCTGGAGCCCCAACACACCCCTCTGGTAGTGAGAAGGGACCTGACTCCACTGGACTTGTTGAGGAATCACAGGGTTCAGGAGAGCGACATTCTCCTTCCTCAAGCCTGCTGAGGGCATTGGTTGGGAATCTGCAGAGATTGCTACAACAGGAAATGGATTTGGCAAAGAAACCAGCCAATGTCTCCAGGAAGGAGAAGCTTTTCTTGGGCAAAGGCATTGCAGCCCACCTGCCTACAGAGCCAATGACCAGTAACTGCTGGAGTGAGCAGGGAGGCAGGCAGGGAGGGAGAAGGATACAGCATAGAATCATAGAATCATAGAATTTCCCAGGCCGGAAGGGACCTCCAAGGGTCATCTAGCATATCCTTGGTCACAGGAGTCCTTGGGCACCCAGGAGAGGACTGCATTGATGGGAAGATATGTGCGCCTCCCTTCACAAGAGGTTATAAAGATCCTCACTATATTTCCCCAGAACCATCTCTCCATCTGCGCAGACATCTCTATCACTCAGGGGCACATCTTCTGCCAATGCTGACATGATCCTGCTCAGGAAATCCTTGGGCCTCAAATCCTGACACTTCAAAAAAGCTTCCGAGGGCTGATGGTCATGTCAGAAATGAGGAACTGAAACGACAATATTGACAGAAACCAAAGCACAACCTGTGCTATTAGGGAGGATATTTTTCTTTGGAGGTGAGTCTGTTGGAAAATTACTGCTTGCGTGCAGTGACTGTGGGCCTGGGGCGGTGCAGGAGCAGTATAAAAGCGGGCCCTTCTCCTCACTCTCTCATTAACGCCTCTATCTACCTTGGGAACAAGGTGAGTCTGAAGCTCTTTCTTGTCTTCCTAAGCAGCCGCCTCTTCCTCTCTTTTTATCCTCTTATTTTGGGATTTCTCAGTCCATTCATACCTCTTTTTCCTATGCAGTCTTGCAGCTGCTCTCCATGGTAGAGGGAAGGGAGCATGGAGAGAATCCAGGGCTTTGTTGAGATATCTCCTGAGCTATGGGCTTAATGGGGACTTCTCTTGGTTTGGCTGCACTTTGCCGGGCTCTTTTGGGCTGAGGAAAAGTATCTCCCTCATTCTGGAGTGATAGTCTTCTTCAATCACTCTCATATTTTGTTTTCCCCTGCCCTCTCTCCCAGGCTCATCTCTGCTGTTTAGGCATGTCCTGCTACAGCCCCTGCCGGCCCTGCCAGCCCTGCGGCCCGACCCCGCTGGCCAACAGCTGCAATGAGCCCTGTGTCAGGCAGTGCCAGGACTCCACCGTCGTCATCCAGCCCTCCCCCGTGGTGGTGACCCTGCCCGGACCCATCCTCAGCTCCTTCCCACAGAACACCGCCGTGGGATCCTCCACCTCCGCTGCCGTTGGCAGCATCCTCAGCTCTGAGGGAGTGCCCATCAGCTCCCGGGGCTTTGGCCTCTCTGGCTTGGGCAGCCGCTTCTGCGGCACCAGGTGCCTCCCCTGCTAAAGCTGCTGGAGATGGTCCTGGGGAAGGTCCCCAGGGACCCAGAAGATTGTAGCAGTCTGTGTACAGATTATCAGGTGTTTGCTTTCAGAGGGTCTGAGCAATCCCAGCACCTCTTGAAAAGGATGGAGCCAACCTGGACCTTTCCCTCTTGTTTCCTTGTTCTCTTGTACTCCCCTGGCCTGTGATCCCCACAAGGCCACCCTAGGGAGGACTTTATGTCCCAGCTCCCTCCTTGGGCAGGCGGATGGACAGCTCTCTGGATCTCTGCTTTGGTCTTTGGGCATATACTCTTTTATTTCACCGGTGCTCTATGCAATAGGGTCTCCACTCAATGGACATTGTTTCCTTCTTTTGACCCAATAAAGTTTTGCTGCATCACATCTCATGCCTCTGTGTCATTCTTTCCCCTGCAGATGCTCTCCCAAGATGCCCAGGGAGACAGCAGTTATTCACAGGTGGATTTTGGGAGGGGTTTGTTGGGGGTGATTTTGCAGTGATTGTCAACACAGGCTTTCATTGAGTGTGCTGATCAGTGTGATCCTCCAGTTTCTAAGTTTATGTGTCTTTTTTGGATTGAATATTGTTGTCCGAGCTAGATCAGTGACTAACCTCCACTTTGTTGTGCAGACCTTTTTCCTCAGAAAGCTTAACACTGTGATGCAAGTTGGCAGGAGGGAATGTGTTACTGAGAAGACACAGGCACTAAATTCCCAGGAGAGGCCAGGAGAACCCAGCCTAACCATGGCACTCCCAAAGGGAGGGACACAGTGCAAAGGGCTGCCTTTGCATGGAACCATAGTATAGAATCATAAAATGGTTTGGATTGGAAGAGACCTTTAAAAATCATCCAGTTCAAGCCCCCTGCCACAGATACGTGTCAAAAGATCATGTTACTGAAAGGTCTATCAAATCTGACTTTGAACACTTCCCATGAAGGGCTTCCTCGTTTCAGCTGAAAAATGTTAATTTTCTTTCTAGTAATTGCCATTAAAGGACTGTCAACAATGAACATTGCTTTAGTTGTTTTTAAGTGATGTTTATACATTTCAAGGACCCTTTTCAGCTTTCCATAGAAGCTGAGAAGGAGCCCAGACAGAAGGAATGGCCAATGGAATATTCTGTACCATAGACATCATGCTTAGTAAATAAAGTGGGATTGACAAGGGGGTAGGAATCCATGATGACTGCTTGGAAAGTACCAATTCACCGGACAGTGAGAGTTACTTTTGTTGTTATTACTATTGTGTTTTTCCTTTTCTGTTATTGTTTCTATTAAACAGTGTTTATCTCCACCCAGGAGTTCTTTTTTTTTCCTTTCCCTTTCCCCTCCTTTCCTCTCCATTCTCCCTGCCCTTCTGGAGAAGGGGGAGATCTGCGCTAGCAGCTGTGTGGTCCTATTTGCCAGCTGGGGTTAAAACATGACAGTCACTAACCAGGTGGCCTTGGCTAAATGTGTATCCCAATGTTTGAAGGTCCCACCACCTGTTGCTCTCAATGTAGTCTTTAACAGTCCATAGTATTGTTTGCTCTTTCTGGAGGCTCCCCTGGTGCTTTCTGCCAGAGGTTCTAGGTAGGTCTGTTCTCCACAGCTGTAGTATGGAGCACATTTTTAACACCTTGCCCTGCCTGAACTGGGGATTCTTTTCTATATCACCTGATAGAGGGGTCTTACAATTAGACTGTAATTTGGAATATGCAAATATGCATTCTCCAAAAACCCACAATGCCTAAGAAAGCTTGTGGGTTATTTCAACTAATTGGTGGAGACATAGTTGCTATTTTGTTGATTACATACACTTTATTCCTAAAAACCGGATCTCCTGCACAGGTCCCTTCACCTTACTTCATTTTATGGCAAAACCAGCTTCCAGAAGGATTTGAACTATATTGCCTTTCCCAAAACCTTCTTCTGTTGTATTTCCCCATGCGATGATGTCATCAATAAATTGCAGGTGTTCTGGAGCTTCAACCTGTTCCAGTGTAGTCTGGATCAGTCCATGGCGAATGGTGGGATTGTGTTTCCAGGGTAGGTGATTCCAGGTGCACTGGACACCCTTCCAAGTGAAAGCAAATTGGGGCCTGCACTCTGCTGCTAAAGGAATAGAGAAAAATGCATTAGAGACATCAGTTGTGGCACACCTTGCCCTGGACTCTAGTTCATACTGAAGTTCTAACGTGTCTGGCAAGGTAGCACTCAACAGCGACGTGACTTCATTCAGGCCACAATAGTCTACAGTTAGCCTCTACTCTCCTTTAGACTTTCACATGGGCCATATGGGACTGTTAAAAGGTGAATGAGTCTTTCTGATCACTCCTTGGTTCTCCAGACAATGAATTCGGTTATGGATGGGAATCAGGGAGTCTTGGTTGGCGCGATATTGCTGCTGATGCACTGTTGTGGTAGCGATCTGTACCTGTTCTTCAACCCTCAGCAGCCCCACAACAGAAGAGTCCTATGAGAGACAAGGCAAAGTAGACAGCTGTTTAACTTCCTCCGCCTCCAAGGCAGCTATCCCAAAAGCCCACCAGTGCCTTTTAGGTCCTTATCCTCTCCTGAGGTAGCTTATGCCAAGGATGCACGGAGCCTTTGGGCCAGTCACAATGGGATACTTTTGCCACTCATTCCCAGTTCGGCTCACTTCAACTTCCTATAACATCAACTGTTGGGGTCCACCCATTATTCCAGAAATACATGTGCGTTATGCCCCTTTATAGTTCGATGGCATCAAGGTACACTGTACACCAGTGTCTACCAGAGCCTTATACTCCTGGGTGTCTGATGTGCCAGACAATCAAATACACACAGTCCAGCAAACTTGGTTGTCCCTTTCCTCCACCTGGCTGTAGGCAGGGCCCCTCTAGTTCTGATTGCAGTATTCAGCATCAATGAATGGGTTTGAGTGGCTCGCCTTGTTTGAATCCCATCCTTCTTATTCACTTGGAAATACAAATATGGAACACCTCCAAGAAGACCAGAAAGTTTTCTGGTTTGCGTGTGGGGCCGTCTGCTGGAAACTGGAGCAGCAGCTTTCTCAGAAGAGCTCCCATTTGTGGTTGGTTTTTCATGCAACTCATGTACCATGCCTTTAAGATCGAGGAAGGTTTTCCTCATATCCTTCCCATGGTCACACAGGTAAAACCACAGGGTGCCTGATGGTGTGTACCCTTTATATCCTCTCCCTCGAGCAGAAAAACACTTATTCCTAATAGCTGAGATACTGGTACATATAGGTAGAGAGTTCCTGGACCTCCCAGACCAGTCTTTCCACAGCTGAGGTGCAGGCTCATAGGGAAGTAGAAAGACTTTCTTCATATTGTTGGAATTGGCCAGTCACTGAATCCACCATTGGTGCCTCTTCATCTCCACAGCTCCTTGTTGCCAATGAGCTGGCACATGATGATGGCGTGCTCTTTAGAAACTTCCGCTACATGGGTCAGATACATCAGACTTCATCTGCATCTGTGGTTGACTGTGGGCCATCCAGGTAATGATAAATCAGCTCCAAGTACCGGATACTGGATAAATCCCTCAGGTACCAGATATTTCTCTCCATCATGGTCTGCTTGCCTGAGTGGCGTATAATATCTTCCTTGAAGGGATATCTTCCACTCACAGCTAACAGAAGTCACCTCCAGAGGTTGAGGATTTGTATCCTTCTTCCAATCACCCTGTGAACATCCCCTTTCCTAGGCAAAGATGCCAACTGCTTGGCTTCCCTACCTTCTAATGCCAAGCTACTAGCCCCATTATTCCAGCAGCAGAGCAACAAGGTGATGACTTGCTTGCCTGGATAACAACTGAAATCTTTTCATATATGTCACAGCTCACCCAGTGATAAGGATCGGGATTATCTCTGGTTCTTCCTTCTGTTCTCGTGATGACCCTGGTTCATCTTCATCCTTTGCTAAGTGAAGTGATGTTTTGTGTATTTCTTCTTCTGTATAGGTGCAATTGCTACCAGCATGGGTGGGTTCTCTGATCCAGTAGCCACAGCTCTCATTGTGGGGTTGGAGTAGCCACAGCAGTCATTGTGGCGTTTCCAGTGTGTCACCACCCACACTGTAAGAAGTTTCTTCTTTATGTCCAATCTATATCTACACTATATCAGTTTAAAACTGTTACTCCTTGTCCTGTCATTACAAGCCTTGATAAATGCTCTCTCTTACTGACTTCCTTATAAGTCTCCTTTATATATTGAAAGCCGTCGTCAAGGTCTCCCCAGAGCCTTCTCTTCTGCAGACTGAAAAACCCCAACTCCCTCAACCTTTCTTCAAAGGAGGTGTGATACATTCCTCTGATCCTTTCTTTAGCACCTCTCTGGACCTGCTCTAACAGCTCCATGACTTTTTTTACTGGGGACCCAAGACTGGGTGCAGTGGTCCTGCTCAGGTCTAATGAGAGTGGACTAGAAGCGGAGAATCACCTCCCTTCATCTGCTGGCCACACTTCTTTTGATGCATCCCATGGTACAATTGCCTTTGTGGGCTGCAGCCACACATTTCTGGCTCGTGTTCAGGTCTTTTTTACCACAAACATATCCATGTCCTTCTCCACAGGGTTGCTTTCAACCATTCACCCTCCAGACTGTATTGATATTGAGGATTGTCCCAAACCA